AAATTCGGGGGCATGTTGTGCCGCGGTGGGAGAAACGGAAGGCCATCATTGGAGCAGGTTGTTGCAAGGTGATGATGAAAACGGGGCCCGTAGCAACTGATCAGTCGGGGCAACGTCTTGGCGGCCCTCTCATGAGAGGGCGCTTGCCGCTGGATGGCTGAGCACTCGTGGGACTCAGACACGTGAGTCAGCCTCGTTCAGTTTTCCCTTTGCATCGCAGTCCCCGAGAAAAAAGTCTGGGAAGATGTGTGGAGTTGGGCGTGAAAATGCAGGAAAGGAGTTGCTCTGGAAATTAGAATCATATCTTCGTTGGTGCATCTCCCTTGAGGGTATCAGATTCAGAGCAATCCAACATTGGCTGGGCGACATGAATAGTTGGTTCCCGATTCTGTGGATTCTCTACATTGTCCGGCCAGTTCTCGGCCGATCTCAGTGTCAGCACCTCAGTTCTGTTCTTTCAGCATGTCCTGGGCGTTAGGTTTGCGGTCATGCTGTGAAGGAGCTGTGGAAGTGCTGCTGAGAAATTGCGGCAGCGATCGCGGAAACTGTGTCTGTCGGCGACAGCGAGGTGGGGTACAGAGTGGCAAATTGCCAGGGCAGCGGCACTATGCATCGCACAGGTGGGCATGCATCCCATGACCTAAGCTCGAACACCAATCCGTTCGTGGAGAGTGAGCCGCACAGGTGCACAACCAAATTGAAAACAAGAGTATCGGCCCCACGGTCATGACCGTGCTGATCATCATATGCTGACCCTGGTCCCTCAATGGACTTAAGCATAGCGCTACGCCTCTCTAGGTTGACAGCAGCCACGCCATCGTACAGAAAAGAATCGCTTCGCATCTGCTGAACCTTCCAATTCCCATGCATAACTAGACAGTCGTGTTCAAATTGCGAAATAACGCCCCAAGCCCTTGGGAGCATGCCATGCGTCACATGGTGCGCAACCGAAACGCCGCTCCCCAAACCCCAAGTCCCAGACGAATGCCACAAACAACCCTCACCATCACCGCAAGCATAGCATACTATCGCACCCATTTTCGCACACCCCAGTTCTTCCCGTTCGCCCTGCTTCCGACATGTCGGAGGCGAGTATCGGTCTGCGCCCCAACTGCCAAACCCCTGCTGCTCATGCCGCGTTTTTCACAAGTCCGAGCTTTGAGTCCCCTCCCGGGCTGGCGCCGGCGTCTGGGCTGTGCATCATGGCGTCCATGTACGGCGGCAGGATGGACACCGACAGCGTCAGCCCCACGAGCATGCCTGACACGAACACGCGCTGGGTGCGCTCCAGCGGGGTGCCCGTGGACCACAGGCCCAGCTGCGTTACGGCCATGAACAGGACCTGGACCATCCACGTGCACGCCCACAGCCACGCGAACACCAGCCGCCCGCTGGGGCGCTGCGCCACCGCACGCACGTAGCCCGCCAGCGAGGCGAAGGTCACCAGCAGGCCCGCGGCGATGTTGAGCTCCGGGTAGGCGATGAAGTAGGGCGGGGCGCCCACGCGCTGGGGGCCCTCAAGCCGCCCCTCGCCCACCTCGTCCCTGATGAAGATCCCGATCGCCAGCTGGGAGACGCCGGCCAGCAGCGCCAGGGTGGAGTAGTACACCAGGCGCGCGGCGTAGTACGGCTTGGTGTACTGGGAGGCGTCGCCCGCGCCAATGCGCCACAACTGCCAGGAGAAGAAAACCTGGCCGCCCTGCAGCGCGCCGCAGTAGCCCGCGGAGCCGATGATCCCCAGGGTCACGACGCCCCGCCACTGGCCCAGCGTGAGGTCGTCGTGCCTGGAGGCGTCGAGCTTGCTGGCGTCGAAGGCGGGCTGCGCGAAGACGAACACCACAAAGGTGAACCACAGCGACAGCATCAGCATGACGCCGGCCCCCGTGACTGCCGCGTTGTGGTAGTCGAAGGCCATGACACCCAGCGCCAGGCCCAGGCCCGCCACGCCCGCCGCGACCTCCAGCAGGGCCGCCACGAAGCGCAGCCACTCCGGAAACGTGTCCCCGTCCATGCCGTCCCAATCCGCGTTGGGGTCTTCGTCGGAATCGTGGTTCAGAGCCAGGACGAGCGTCACACGTATGACCCCTTCCACCAGCAGGAAGGCGGAGAACAGGCCCAGCAGGCCCGCCGTCCGGTGGACGCCGACGCTTTTTGGGTCGACCATGGCTTCCAAACACGCCCGACGGAAGCTGGGCCGATGCTCTCGGCCCGGGAGGCTGGAAGCTCCGGCGGGGTGCTGTCCTTGAGCAGAGCGTGCGGTTTGCGTTTTTGGTGGCCCGGGCCCGCGCGGGGCCGGCCTTTATGTGTGGGCGTCCACTGACAACGCCGGCCGACCGCTGTGCATAACCCGCTGCACACGCTAATCGGGCCCTGACAGGAAGCCGCCACGGCGGTGCTGCGGTCCGTCATCGCGGGTGATGGGTGTGACGGGCGCGAGCGCAACCCTGCAGCACGGTGCGCAGTGGCCACGTAAGCAGACGCATCAGGGGATGTGGCGATTCGTGCGCACATCGCCAGAGCACCCGCGCGCCACACGCGTCCCAAGGAAATGGATGCAGCGATCGATCTGCATATCCATCCCTGCCTGCCTCAGCGTCAGTATCACGTCGGTGCCGATACGACACAGCAGCGTTTGCCAGTGGGGTGACGCAATGTCAAGATGTCTCCAAGGAAGCGAAGCAGCCAGTGCTCCAGCGGTTGTAGAGCAGGCTTGGTCTGCACTGTGCAAATGTCGTCCGTTGTCTTTGCAGGTGGCTGTTCTTTCAACGCCATATTTGCGGCTTATCCGAAATCAGAAGACGCTCCTTCCTGGCACCCGGCATGCACACACCTTGTTTGAGTTTGGTCAGTTAGTATATGATTCAATTCAAGCGAACCAGGTCCCTTGCGCTCGTCCTTGCAGCATGCCCCACCTCCTCACATAAACGCCTACTAGGTGTTTGAGCTCATATCTCCGCTGCCTCACACTATAATGTTCCCCAGTACTAGGGAACGTGCAACTTTTATTGGGTCGCGGCTCCTGTCCATTACCAACAAGCACGTATGTTGCGCCGCTTTTTAATTCCAAATTACCACATTCAATATACCTGTGCGCCGCTAACAACAACGTTGCTGCCCGTAGAGCTTTTGAATGTGCAGATGGCTGTGATGGGTTGTGGCGTCCTTCAAAATCTGATTGGAGAACACCACACATGGGGGAATTCCCCATTACCAATCGCAAAGGGCACTCACGGCCGGGTGAATCTGTTGAGGAGCATCGGCGGGGGAAACCAGGACGTGGGTATATGCCAATAATGCAAAAGCTGCGGCAGGCTTGATTCAGCTTACTAAGTCCTGCAGACTGACGAAATGCACCTTTCAACTCTGAATGATCCTGCTGCCACCGCAGCTGTGCCAAACACATGGGTTCTCCTCTATGTGAGGAAAATATCAGGGCAGCAGACCTTGTGTTGCGCTCTTGGGTGGGCAGCATGTGAGGGATCTACTGCCGTCACGGCCATCTATACGGACGCGCGAGTAACCGTAGATCAGATACGGCTAATGTTCGCACCATTTATGGGTTCTGTACACCCAACATTTGTCAAACGCGTACCACTGCACCGGGGCCTGTTAAATTTAATAGCTTTAGAGCTGCGCCAGTCTACTGTTTGAACGACTTGCACCAATGCCCACATACGCGCTTCGTACAGGGGCATGTCTTGGATTCAAGTGGATGGCGAGTTTCGGGTACGAGCGGCACATGTGACGCTGTACTGCAAGTACCATTCACAAGCCTGTGTGCTCAACTTACCGCTCAAACACCAAGCAATTCTCCCCATTGTGTCGGTGTTACACTCGTTCAACGCCTACACATTTGCTCAGAGGATACATTCGTGAATCTGTCCTCCTGAGAAACTTGGAAACTCATAATTTATGGGCAATGCAGTTAAGAAGGCCTGTGCGTGAAGCATAACAACACACTTGCCGACAAGCACTGCCAGAAGCAATTTCTGCGGTAGTGGTTTGTTGGCGGGGTGTACTTTATACCTTGTCAGTTCTGTTTGTATGCTAAAGCGCGGTGGAGAAGCAGAGCAGCGGTACAACCCTGTCCCACTTCCCAAGTCCGGAGGCCTCTTTCGCACCAACAAACGCAAAGCACAATGCAACGCACATGTAAAGCACGCAGATTCTCCATTACCACGATGAATGCCTGTGTTGGTCGCAGTTCATGCAGTTTTGATGGAATAGGGTGGTGCTACACTGCACTTGCGTGCGGGAGTCTCCCGCCAAGCAACCCGAGGTTGCGACGTGGGAGCGACACACAGCGCTCTGCCTCAGGGGTGCCTGGCGCTCTGGATCGGCCTTGCCCGAGGTGAGCAGGACCTTGTGGGTAGAGCCCCAGACGCGGCTTGAAACGGGGTTGTCCTGACCACGGACTCAACCAGGTCGCTGCCGGCCATCCGCCCCCGTCGAAAAAACGGCTGTCTAGGCACGATGACGGCGAAGATACAGGACTGGCGGTGTGATGAACGTGACCATTGAAAATGCTCATGGAGGCGCCTTGCCGTGCACATGTCCTCACAGTTCTCGCACAAAACATTTGCCAGTCCCAAATTCCCATTCACGCCCCTCACGCACCCGCCTATGCCAGCACAGAGGGGCGCTTCTTGAGGGTTGCCTTGTTCGGCCGCGCTCCGCATTCAAGTACATTCCCGCCGTATTGCTTGCATCCTTCGTTGAGTGCAGTTGGCAACAGCCCACACGCGTTCCTCCCTTCACCGATTCCCGTGCGCCTTGTGCGCGGCATCGACTTGCTGCTCTGAATGGTCAGCAGCCACCTCGCGATGCATTGCAGCGCTTGTGCCTTTGCGATCGACGTGCTGCCGCTGTGACGCTTCCAGCTCACCGCAAAAGGCAGAACGTCGCAGGACGTCATTGTGTGGGCCCCAACCTGCACCATCCAAAGCGTCGCTCCTGGGAGGCCCATTGGGGCGTAGCGGCGCAGCAACGGGCAGTTGCAGATGGCAGCCCATGGCGGGAAGGTAGCGCCAAAATCGGCCGAAAAGAAACTGTCGGAGCTGCGAGATGAGATGGTGAAGGCGCATGTGGACGCGGTCGTGGTGCCCACGGCCGATCCGCACTTGATGGAGAACGTCCCAGACTTTTGCAAGCGCAGGGAGTTCATTTCAGGATTCACTGGATCGACCGGTGAGTTGATGACCTTGGACTTATGGACCTGCAATTCATTTCCTGCTATATTCCTGCAGATTTCTTGCTGAAAGGTGTTGTCTCCTCAGCCCAGTGTACCATAGACTTCGAATCCAAGCTAATAAAGAGCCTACAGCTTAGCAAAGTATTGGGGTTTTGCTCTATGTCATTCCATAGCAGGAACCAGTCCAAACTACTAAAGGGCCCACAGCTTCAACAAAAGCATTGCAGCTTTGTTATGCAGTCATTCCATGGAAGGAACCAGTCACTTGTCCCCATACCCAAGTCTCTCTTGCAAGAGACATGAAGTGGTTGGGACTGATGTTTGATCACCAGCCAGGAGCACACTGCCCGATGTTCCCTGCAACCACTGGTGCGATCACCTTGAGGCCTGCCATCACTGTCCAGGGACATGGTTTGCCCAGTTCAGGGAAATGCAATGAAAGCAAGGTCATGAGCCCAACTCACACTCAAGTGCGATAACCCATGCAGGAACGGCTGTGGTCACTACCTCCGAAGCTGCTTTGTGGACGGATGGGAGGTATTTTCTTCAGGCGGAGATCCAACTGGGGCCTGGGTGGACACTCATGAAGATGGAGACAAAGGGATGTCCTAAGGTGGGCAGCTTGTGGCATCTGGTGCCATTGCTTTGATTGCGCGTGTTGGCAATGGCAAGTCGTACCCATACGTTTCAAAGGTATTTTTCGCCAATGTGTGCCAGATTGCTAAACGCATTGTTGGTGCTTCCTGCTTGCCACTTACTATGTCACATGGTATGTGCAGTGGTGCAGCTGGCTGGCCTCGCATTTGTAGACTGTGATCAGTGCTCATGTGCAAAGACATGATCAACGCAGGGCTCTCATTCCATGGCAAGACAGTTCCATCTGTGCCGCCACTCGCATCAAGCCATGGGCAGCAGAATCGACCTGTGGGTGTGTGTTTGGTTGTTCTATAGATCCCTGATTGGCTGTGCAAAGCAATACCAGAAGGTGGACGTGTGGGAGTGGACCCATTCTGCCACAACGATTCCCAAATCCGGAGCTGGCAGAAAAACCTGCAGGTTGGTTGTACAAGCACCTGGCTGTGAGTCAGAGGCGATTAGTCAGAGGCGATGGTCGCATGAGCTGTTTCTGGATTGGCTGATTTGCTGATCACAGCACGAGTTTGCAACCCGCCACAGCCTCATGTCACAAGTCTGGCCACAAGCTGTGAGACTTCCTCAAATCACAGTGCCTGTCAAGAGCGCTGAACGTCGATGTGGTGTTCCAACTGCCAGGAAGCTGGCCGTGAACTTGTGCTGCTGAAGGCAAACCTTGTAGACCATGTATGGGGCTCAGAGAGACCATCTCCACCCAAGGGCTCCCTGCGGGTCCACCATATAGAACTGGCAGGCGAATCATCCACATCGAAATTTGCCAGAGTGCGCAAGGCGATGGATGAAAAGGGAGTGAATGCACTGGTGACCTCTGATGTTTCAGAGGTTGCCTGGATGCTGAACCTGCGGGGACAGGATGAGTTGTACACCCCCATCTTCATCTCGTATTTGATATTGACTCTTCATGAAGCTATTCTGTATGTAGACACTGAAAAGGTTACAGATGAGGTGAGGAGGCAGTTGGATATATGCGGCTGCAAAGTGGAGCCCATAGAGGACATCCTTGGTGGAGTAGGAGCCTATGCCAATGCCTCCTCGAAGATATGGATGAGTGGGGAGCAGGTGTGGACTGTGAAGATTCTCTGCCCACTGCTGTGGTTTGGGGTTTGGACATTATTTGTTTGCTTATTGTGTATCGCTTGCACAGGTCAACTGTGCTATCTTCAATGAAGCAAGGCAAGCCTGTGAAGGGCAAAAGGTTAGTAACAGGAAGTAGCTGAGTCAGTGTTGGCTGCGGCGACTGTGAGAAGCACATGAGACTTCTGGCTGGCTCAAATGTCTGTCAGATTGAATGCTGTCGTCCCATGCATTGTTGGCTGTGCTGATCTGGCCCAAAGCCCTTCCCTTTGTGCTTTTGGGTGCTGATAAGTTCACGTGCCAAAAGCTGCAAATGAAGGCTACATCAAAAGACTGGTATGATAAGCAGAACATGTTTACAGACACTGCACTGAGTGCATTTAAGGACTCATAGAAGATGCTATTTCGATGTGCTTTTGGTCAAGAACTCTCTCCCAAAAGGGCAATTTGTGGGCTGTTCCAATGTGTTTTCAAATTAAGAAGAGCACTAAAGCTCAGCCTGCCATTGTACAATACAGCAAATGCAAGCCCTAGTGTGTCTGCAAGGGCTATTGAGCATTTGAGTGGCTGGCGTGCCTGTGGAAAATAGGTTGGCAAGATTGTGGACGACGAGACGCCTATCAAGTTGTTCATGGCAGTCAAGAATGAGGTTGAGATCGAAGGGATGAAAGAGGCTCATATCCGGGATGCTGTTGCCATCATTGAATTTCTATATTGGCTTGAGAACCAGGTAAGGGTCTCATTTTGGTGGTGGTTGGTGAGGATTAAATTCATGACATGTTTGAAAGGCTGCCCTTGAGATGGTATCTCCATACCTGCACAGGTGCTGTTTTGATGGTGTTCATGTTGGAAAGGGAACATCAGAGGTCAAGGACCTGTGCCTGTAGTGTCGATTGCGCCTTGCCATGTTCCATGTCTGTTAAGTTGGTTGCCTCAGTTCCAGTGGCATAAATCCACATCGATCCTGTCGACCAAGACACCGCACATGTTTCTGTCTCTACGACGGCGATGTTGGATAATTTCACAGGGAAGTGTCCCGAAGATTGTGGGTGTTCCTGCTCCCTACCATCTAGTGCAACTATTCCAGCTTAGAATGTGTGTTGGGTGTCACATTGTGCGGTAGCTTGGTGACTCAGGTGGACGTTCTTGTGGCTGCAAGGTTGCTTCAGGGAAGACCTTCACTGAGGTCGATGTTGACAGGGAGTTGACAGCCCGGCGAGCGGTGCAGCCCGGATTCGTCGGTCTCAGTTTCCCCACCATTGCTGGCGCAGGACCCAATGGGGCTGTGATACACTACCATGCTGAGGAAGAGTCCTGTGGGACAGTGGACAAACACACGCTTCTGCTCATAGATTCTGGTGGTGAGTGCAGTCACTTGAGTTGTGGATGGGGATGCGAGAACATATCCCAAGATCATGTGGCCAGGGTCATGCACAGGATCAAATATTCCAAGCTCTTCAAGATGATTCATTTTTCATTCCATATAATCAAGATATTATATATTTACAAAAGTTTGTCCATGCTAAATTGCCAAAATGACGAACTGTGGCACCTTCGCCTATTAGGCGATGTTAGGCTCTCTGCTCGGTTGAAATTTCGTTTGTGCTGATGCCAGGTAAGGTTCCTTTTTAAGTTGCACTGCACAGTTTAGAACTGAAATGAGTAGGAATTCCTTAATCTTCTTTGGCACTGTACAGTACAGCTGTCAAGTCAACTCCCATATTTCAGTGCTAAGAACAGGCAGTGTGCTGCACTGGCCCATGTCTGGCTCATGAAGTAGTGTCAACCCTAAACGAGGCCGCGGTAGTAGTCTAGGCCTCTAGACTAGCTGCCAACACCCTGCTCCTCCCTGCAGGTGCCAGAAGCGAGGAAAAATTGGCCGCCTCAGCCTATCTCCTGTCACCACTTTGCTCTGTGCTGGTGAACCTATGTTATGACTTCTGTGTGGAATAATGCTGGAGAAGAAAATCTTGTTGCAGTCCATTTGTAATCACAAACACATGCGCTGCCCTTTAAACGATATAGCAATGACGAGTGCTTCCCCCCCACCACCCCACCCCCCTCCCCGAGCTAGATCCCACAGTGCTCAGCATACTGGTCTGCAGCTGAATGGCCTGAAGGGCTGGCATGTGGCCAGGTAAAAGCCCAAAGGAAACACTCAATTCCTGAGATGGAATTGAGAGGGCGAAATGTGTGTTTATGCAGCCCAATACGACTGTGGCACAACTGATGTGACCCGAACATTGCACCTTGGAGAGCCCACATCTTATCAGAAGAAGTGCTTCACCAGAGTCTTGCAGGGCCACATTCAGATGGACATGGCACGCTTCCCTGAGGATACCCCAGGGATGGCCATTGACGGCTTGGCGCGGATGTACTTGTGGCGAGTGGGTTTGGACTATCGACATGGAACAGGACATGGTGTTGGGTCCCACCTGTGTGTGCATGAAGGTGGGTGCCACATTTGTGTGCTGCTTGTTGTGCTTGTGCTGTTCTTGGCTGCAGCTCCAGACACATCTGCAGCCCAGCACTTGTGCTTCAAGATCTTGAGTTCTTTCACAATTGCCCAAGATGGTATTGGAATCTATTGCTTCAAAGGCCTCAAAACATAACATGCTGGGTGTGGGTGATGTCACCCACCGCATCCTGTTTCATTGGTGTATTATGGACTTCTGTCGTAAAGTTGCTGGTGCTGTTTCCCCAGTTGTGCTCTGGTAAGTGTTGGACTCCAGACACACTGCTGCATGGACAATCAGCAACTGTCCCTTTGTCCAGTAGTGGACTTGCCAATGTGCTGTCTTTTGATGACGTCAGCGGAGAGAGGCTGTTCGCTGGATTATAGTGTTGTTGGTTCTTGTTGTGGGCGAGTACTATGAAAGGCACCAGTTGTTTTCTACCTGCAGCGGATGTTGCTGGAAGCCAATGTCTGCATCTGTGGGTGTCGGGATGCAGAGGAAAGCTATGCAGTTGGAAGTGACTCATGTCAGGGAGTCTCACAGCGTAGAGTCGTTGTGACCTTGATGGAATGCTCTGTGTGCTGGAGGCCTGAATGCAGGAAGTCGCTTTCACAGAACAGAAGACGTTCTGGTGAATTCAGACGGACGTGCTATATTGCAGGGCCCATGTCGATCTCGCATCGCTATCATCTGAAAAATACGCACAATCCGCTGAAGGCGAACATGATCGTGAGCAACGAGCCAGGATACTATGAAGACGGCAGCTTTGGGGTTCGTGTTGAGAATTTGGCGCTCATCAAGGAGGCACACACAGAGCACAACTTTGGAGGCGTGAAGTTCTTGGAGTTCGAGCCCATCACGTACGTGCCCCTGCAGAAGAAGATGATTGCGGCAGAGCTCCTTTCCCAGGAGCAAACGCAGTGGGTAAACAACTACCATGCTCAGGTGCGAGCCAGGCTCAGATTCCGAAGGGGAACGCCTTGGCTGATCGAACGTGCAGTGCTTCTCGCCTTACCGTTCAACGCGCCGTTGCTGTTGAAGATTGCTGCAGGGTACACTCAAAGAAGCATAAGCGGTAGCACTGGAACGCTCGCCAAATTGTAGTCAGTGCCTTTGTACATGGCGATATGTTGTTCACGAGACTCATCAATTTCAGTAACACGAGGTGGTGTATTCATGATGCGTCATGTCTGGACTCTATGGTTGTTGTGACCAATTTATTCTGGCCACGGTGTTAGAGCCATCCATCCATTAACTTTGTCAATTTCAGTGTCTCTGTTGGCTCACTGCATGCTGGCAAGCGCTCGTCATGATGTCATAGAGTACTGTGTGGCAGGATTCAAAGAGCGTTATGCATATGCTGCTGCTTGAATTTCTAGCGTGCATGAGTGCAGCACTCATGCTGCTGCATGAAACAAGAGATAGAGAGTCTTTGCATCTCACAAGTGCCCCACAGTTTTCAACAAAGTGTTCCCAATAAAGGAGAATCCCCGCAAAGGCGCATTGCGCTTCTCTGAATCCCCATCAATACGTATTCGTTCATGCCATCAACTGCGACCGCAATCTGAACTCACAAGTCCTAGAATTTGGTCTTAGAATGGCATGGAACTGTGTGCCCTTTCAGTTTGTGTTAAGCCCAATCCCCATCTTCCAGGTCTGGGACAAGGTATCTCCCCGCCTGTCTGATGAAGCGAGAGAGTGGCTGCGCGTCGGCGTGGCGCCTTTGTAGGGGAATGGGCGAAGAACTTTCCCAACTAAGGATGTGCACTCATACCGCATTTCGGCTGTTAGGGTTTGAAAAGAGACACAGCAGCTTTCGCTGGACAGCAGTGGATAACCATTTGAGCATTGCTTCAACTTTCGTTCGTTTTCAGCGGATCAGCTGGACTGATCCTGAGAATTGATCGGGGGTGTTCTGTACGTATGCAAGTTTTGCCAGACTCTGGCCCATGTTAGTTCTTTGAAGTCACGGATTCGGGTTGTTGAAGGTGTTGTGGATATGTAGCCGTCGCTTTGGGTTACTTTATTCGTGGTGAGCATTGATGGCGGTAGTGGAATAGCTGAGTTGTAGTCAGCAGACGCAAACCTTGCGGACGTTGGTGACCTCGATGATATATGCTTAGCAGATCGTATTGTGCTCATGGGTGTCGTGCTTTGAAAGCAGTTGTAACATACTGCACGGGATTGTCCTGTCAGATGTTTCGTGGCTCCACAAAACCTGCGTGCATTGTTTTGGGGATTTCCAGAGCTGGGCGGGGAACCTGTGCCGCTTTGGCGTTGGCACGGTGGCTGTGCTTTGAGCACCAGAGGCAGCCGCGAACGCCCAGTTGTGTTGCATGTCCGGGCCCCCTGCCTCCGCATTGGGTACCTGACAAAACGGCTAAAACGCCTCGGCGCGGAGTGCAAAGACATTGCGCATTGAACTGAGGGACCCAATTGCGAAAAGAGAGCAAATGTCCAGCAAGGCCATCTTCTGCTGACCCGAATCGACCAACATCCGGCTTCAGCAAGAATGCGCATGTGAGTGAGTTGTTTTTGGGTTTAGGGGAATGCGCTGAATGGGTGAGGGCCCTCAGGTCACCGGCTTCAGCAAGAATGCGGATGTGAGTGAGTTGGTTTTTGGGGTTAGAGGAATGCGTTGAACGGGTGATGGCCCTCGGGTCACCAGCTTCAGCTGGAATGCGGATGTGAGTGAGTTGTTTTTTGGGTTTAGGAGAATGCGCTGGACGGGTGAGTGCCCCCGGGGCACCGGCTGCTTCTGCGATGTGGATATGAGTGAGTCAACTCGGGTCAACGAAATTTTAGACGAGTTGTCCGTTAGACGTAATGTCCTTAGACCAGTTGTCCGTTAAACGAGTTGTCTTTAGACGAAATGGCCGGCACCCCGGTCGGGGTTCGCCTCCGTCATCAGAAGGAAAAAAAAGAAACAAAAAAAACGACGCAGCTGGAAAAAATGGCTCGTCCGCGGCTGCTTGGGTGCCTTGTGGTCCGTCGCTGGGGCAGTTTTCGCTCACTCCTCGACGCGAACCCGCCCGTGCGCGGCGAACCCACCGCCGTGTCCCAGCCTCCAAGCCGCCGAGCCAGCGGCAGGGGGCGCTCAGCGCGCAGCGGGCCCCCGGGCCGCGATGGGCGGCGGCAGGGATGGCCTTCTCTGCGAGAGGCTGCAGCTCCACGAAGAGGTGGTTGGGGATGAGGACACCGCCCAGGCCGGCCCCGCCCCCGTGACAACTTCCGCCTTCCTGGGCATAACCAACTTCTGGGCGGCCAGGGGCGCCGCGAGCGGCAGGCGGGGGGCAGGGAAGCCGTCGGCCGTGCTCCGGGCTTCTGCCAACGGCGAGCGGGCAGCGGCATTCGATCCCCGGGCTGGCGACGTGTCCGTGCTGGCCGTGACGCCCCGCGGCGCCGAGCTGATCTCAAAGTTCGACCCCCGGGGAGGGCCGCAGCTCCCCCATCGGGCACGCGATCCCGTCGCGCTGCTGGCCTGGTCGCCGGACGGCTCGCGGCTCGCCGTGGCCACCCTGTCCGGGTGCCTGCACGTGCTGGACGGCGCCGGGAACCCGATCAAGTCCTGGGGCGCGGGGGAGGCATGGGCGAGGGGGAGCCTTGTGGGGGTTGAGATCCTCCCTGACGGCAGCCCGGTTTTACTTTCTGGCACCGGCAGATTTCACACGCTGCCGCCTGATTTGGGCCCGCCGAGTTCCGTTCAGTCGGTGAGCGCGTACCACGCCGCGCCGCGGTGCATGGCGCTTGATGCCGCTCGCGGGGTGCTGGCGGTTGCCGGAGACGGGCCGAACGATCCGGGAAGGAAGCCCAGGGACGCCGGGGAGGCGACGGCGGAGGAGGGGCGCATCACGGTGTCGTTGTGGCGCCGCACCGACGCCTGGGAGCCAATTATGACGGTGGGCAATCGGCCCGGCGGCGACCTGTTTGGCAGGATCGCCGGTCGCGCCGGGCGGCCCTCGGTGGAGGGATGGGCCGTGAGCGCGAGCCCGTCCGGGGAACACGTGGCCGTGCGCGTGCCGGGACGGGGCGTGAAAATTTTGTCTGTCACCGATCGGCGGTTCATGTCGCATGCGGGGGATGGTTCGGGCAGCGGCGCGGAGTGCCTGCTGGAGGATGCGGCGCTGGTGGGGTGGTGGACGCCGGGGGTGCTGGCCGTGCGCACGGTCGGAGCGGAAGTGAGGTTCATCGACGGGGAGGATTTGGGGGAGGTGTGGCCATCGGGGTCCTGCGGGTTTGCGCGGGGATCGGTGGCGGCGCGCGGGGGCGGCGACAGGGCGTGCGTGCTGGTGATGCAGCCCATGCTGCTGACGGCCGATCGCCACGCTCGGAGGCCCGCTGGGAGGGATGAGGGTGAGGAACGGAGGTGCGTACAGAGGTTGTCGCTGTGAACGGGCGCTGTGAAATGCGGGTTGGGTTCCGAGCAGCTGAGGGAAAGAGTATGGCCAACTTCTGTCGCAGTGCAAGCAGTTGGCTCCTGCCCAGCAGGGGTCGGGAGCATTGCCTGGCAACCATATTTCCCCCTGGTTGTTTCTTGTGGGATTTGGGCCGCCACCTTGCAGGCATCTGTCCATTTTGGATGGCAAGCAGCAGGGAGTGCAGAAACGTGAAAAACAAAAGCATGCCAAACACCAATGGCAGCTGCGGGATCAGTGTTTTTTGAATGTCATCCTTTGCTCTTTGCCAGAATGTTTTATTGTCATTTGCCAACATATGATTCAGGGCTATCTGTTTGACTCTTGTACGTTCTCAAGTGTTATTCATATTGCAGGTCTTGTGACAGGTTGTTGAAGAGAGAACCTGGCGACAGGCAACCCCGTAGTGACGGGAAAGTGCACTGCAGTGTAATACCTTTGTCATATTGGTCTACTGCATTGTGGACATTCATTCATGTGCTGTTGGAAGAAGAACGTGTGAAAAAATGTGAAAGAACATCTTGAATGTGCGTCTCAAATTCCATTGAGTACTTCCTTGTCACCGCATGACAAGACAGCCCTTTCACCCAAAAAAGCTGCCGATATTGGGCAAATGGGCATCTGTGAGATTCAGAGTTGGTGTTGGCACCCTTGACAACACTGTGTATTTTTATGCTTCAGGGAGAGTGCTATGACAGCCAGTGAAAGCCATGAATGGCCTGACTCCTTGAACCGTGGGTGGACGTTGCACTCGCTTGTGGAGAGGACACCAGATGAAATGCTTGAAATCTATTTGAAACGGCATGCTTGGACAGAGGCGCATGCACTTGCAGGGAAGCATGGCCTTGACACCAACTTGATATTCAAGTTCAGGTGGAGTGCAACGCCTGTGGACGAAAACAACATCAACGAGAATCTAAAACCTGTGACCGATCGGAGATGGGTGATAGAGCAGTGCCTTGCCAGGGTGGCCGATGTCTCGAAAGTGCAGAAAGAGCTCCTTGAGTACGGCACCCTGGAGACAGAGAGATGGTATCACAGGGCGCGCTCAGTGCCTGTTGATGGGAGCAGTGCCCTACCAGAAGGCGGAATTGCCGATCGGGATTGGCTGTTGCTGAGGAGAATGGATCTTCTTGGCTCCCTTGACCGATTGGAGACATTTTGCAGAGTTCAGGAAGGTGAATACTCTGCACAGGCTTATGATCTGTTTCGAGTCTGTGACCTGGCATTCGCTGCAAGGGCATTTGCTGCCTTAGGTGATTTGACGGGGTTGCAGGTGGGTAACATGTGTGAGGAGCCAATGACAATGTGTATCCATGCTTGCCACATTTGTGGACTTTTCAGTTGCCACCTAGTCATCACCACTGCCTGCCCCCCTAAATGGCGTGATGGATAGTTGGTGCTGTTGACCATCGTTAAAACAGGTTAACAATCACCCACTCTGTCACATGTTCGATGCTGCTCCTTGCAGTTGCCCCGATCTTGCTGCTTGTTTGGTGCAACATTGACCTTGCATCCACTTGCGATAGCCTTGTCATGCAGTATTGTCCGTCTTGCAGTGGAGGATGTGTGTCCATGGCCTCCATGCGAGGTGTCCACATGTAAAACAATTTTTTGCAAATTCTGGCTGCAGATTCTTTTGCAAAGGCACACACGAGCGCTGTTTCCCAAAATGCTGGACATCTTGTCCCACATCCCAGAGGCCACCGATCCCCGTTTATACACCCATCTGCTTCCATTACCAGGCACCATGGCTGTGGACATGTTCATACCAGCCAGAGATGCCGATTGGGCGGAGACCCAGGCCACAGCTCAACTGCTGATGGCCTCCATTAAGGAAACAACAGCAAGCTCCACGGTCATGGACACTGAACACATACTTGCTTTCAGCGATCTTGATACTCTGGCACTTGATGAGAAGTCGTTGGAAAAGTGGTACACAAAGCGAGCCAAAGACATCGACTCAGCCACAGGACAGCTAGGGTTTGCAAAAGCCCTTCTGGAGATGGGCGTTGAAAAAGGCCTTGGTCAGGATGTGGCAGAGCTTTTGAAATCTGTGCAGTTTCTCAGTGGCACTGTCAAGGGCTCCCAGGCCGGCTGGTTTGTGGGCCTGGAGGAGTTCTCGGCAATGTCAAGGGCTGGTCAGCTGAAGCTCCTTTTGGAGGGCTCCACGATCGACAGAGTTGAGGGCGACCTTGAAGAACGTATTCTGCCCTTCTTTGCGGGCCTTGACTCCGAGCTTCGTGCAGAGTTGCTGTCAGATTTGTTTGCAACGCAGATGGGGGCTCGCCTGGAGTGGTGTGAGCGCCTTGCGGAGCTGGAAGCTGCTGAGGTGCGCCTTTTTGGCAGCGGGCTACCTGGGGCACTTGCTTTTGCGAATTCGGTGACCACTGGGATCCTAGTGTGGCCACAATCTGCCCAGTGGGACCAGTTGAATGTCCTGCTTCGACATGCTCACAGCTGCCTGGAGGCACACGAGCATGAGCTGGAGGGCTGCACATCGCCAGGCTGCAACAAGGCCTGGTCGCAGGCTGTGAGCGAAATAGAGGTTCTCAATGGTTGCATATCTGTTGGCAAGAGGCTTTCCGGGCTCGGTGTTGTGATGGCGATTGACAAGATCAAGTCGATGGACCAGGAGGGAGGCCTACGGGCAGTGCGAACGATCCTTGCTCGAGCATCACGTGCAGGGCGCTCATGGCCTGATGCTAAATGGGAGGGGCTTGCAAGGGATCTGCAGGCCATCGGCAGGAGGCTTCCCATGCCCCTGGAGAGTGAGACTGTCACTGCAGAGCTGTGCAGGGCTTTGCTTCGGGCTGGGAAGTTCGCTCAGGCACAGCGCCAGCTGGCAGGCGATGTGGACTCGGCCCTGGAGAAGAACAATGCAGGTGCGTGCCAGTTCTTTGCGTGACTGTGCGCATTGTCTGATGCAGACAAAGCATGGCCAAGCCCCAAGGGGCGATGCTGGGTGAATTCTCTGAGTATTAATTGCCTCACAGCAATGCCAAAACTGATGCGATGTTTCTTGCAGTCTGCATGGAGCATAGCCTGGATATGTGTTGCCAGTGCTTGTATCCCTGCGATGCCCAGTTGAGACACCATGCATCACAACTGCCTGAAAGGACAAATGCGACACTGCCGATGTGTAGTTGCCTGGCAATTGGGTGAATTGATTAAGAGCAACCTCCTGGGCTACCAGCTGCATTGTCCCCGTTCAAAATAGCCCATGGACAGCTGCACACAGTGCTTATGTACAGATTTTCTCAAGCATTGCCCGCACCTCCCAGCTGCTACCATTCAAACCTGGGACATGACCATCTCATGCGAATGCTTGCAGAGATGCTCGTCCTGTCTGCTGGCCGGGAGTTCCTGTACTCAGCATCTTCCCTGGATGTGCCTGCTGTCTCGGATGCACGGGAATGCTTCCAGCTCCTGCCAGACTCTCAGGCGGCCAGGCTGGAGCTGAAGGTCATCGAGGCCTTGCAGATGCTGCCTGCCAGGTTTGGCCTCAATGTGCTGCCCATGCAAATGAAGCAGAGCAGCAGGTCACAGGTCCTGCAACATGCTGTAACCACCCGCGCTGAAAACTACAAGGACAGGGAGGGGCTCAAGATCCTGGCTGGACTGCTGGATGTCACAGATCCCAACGAACTCTCAGAGCTTGACATAATGGTGGGCTGGGCGGCACTGCATGCGGGGGACCTGGCAGCTGCCCAGGAGATCGCAGTGAGCCTCATGAAGACGGGATTTGAGAATGCCTGGGAGTTCTGTGGAGCTGTCGGACAGTTTGCCCATAGGACAGACGTGGAGCAGGGCGTCAACGTTGAAACATGCATGAAGTTGCTTGCTTTTGCAACTGTGTACTGCCCTGATGACAGGAAGATGGGTTTTGTGAAGGCGCTGGAGGCCTCTGGTGAATGTTTGCCCACGGGTGCGGCCTGTTGAAGTATTTTGTGCTTGTGACCGACAGCAGCTGTCTCTGTTGGCTGCTATGAGGAGGCTGGATCGCACTTAACGGCTCTTTTGATACCTGTGCTGAAATCGGCGACTGATGGATGTGGATGAGATCAACAGTGACTGTGTTGGTGCTCCCATGTGGATTGTGACAGTTGTTGATCTTGGTCAACGGAGAGCCAAGTGTAAACGCAGCATCACAGCCCACAACAGGGCCAGGCGTTGTGTGGCTAGCAGCCTCTCCTTGTCCTCAAGTAGTTTTGTGCTTGGGCACCCAGCATGCTGTTTTGCTTGGATTGATTTCTGTCATAGGATTGCCAGATCCGCAATGGATCGAAACCATGTGCTGCCAAGGCTAGCTAACTTGACTGTGCTTGTGCCGCAGACGCTGGTGACCTTGACCTCCCTACTGAAGAGCTTCTTCTTATGGCAGTTTCTGGGGATGGCAGTGATGCAGGCGTGAATGCAAGTCTGCCATCCCTGTGGGATGTGCCACTGGCCTTGACCTCCCTGTTTGCTCTTGAACCAAATACAGAGCCCTTCATTCAGTCCATACTTGAGACATGCGCATCAGAGAGAGCTCAACGAAAAGAAATGAAATATGCATCGTTTGTGCAGCTGATGCATTCATATGTCGTTTTCAACTTGCTGAAGGTGCTTACCGATTGCAATACATTGAATTCAACAGCAGATCGGGTTGGCAAAATGCAGGAACTCCTTGGAATGTCTGTCCTTCAGTTGTTGGAGGCTGCAAGGGCTGCTGGTGGCCTGAATAGAGAGGGCCAGGATGCTCTCAGCAGAGCCGAAGCTGGGTGGTCAACGATTGAGGCGGCCAGGGATGCCAGGAATGCAAAACGAATTATGTCCGATGTGGACATGCTTGCATTTGCTTGTGGGAAGGGTCGCACCAGGAATGAAGTGGTGCTTCGTCTGGGCGCCTGTGCAGGGATGCGCTGTGCCCTCCAGGATCTGGGATCTGGTGGAGAGTCCAAGGACGACGTGCTTGAGCTCGCACGGAACCTGGCAGCAAAGTACGGGACAGATGCTTGGGACCTGAGTGTTGCTTTTCTGGAATCTGCGCTGCTGGCGGCCACAGAGATCACTCCCGGGATTGGGGCCATGGCTGTTTGTGAGCTTGAGAAGCTGCTGGATAGGCCACAAGACACACTGTGTGCACTTGTCTTCCGGGTGTGGTCTGGGCTGCCAGGTGCGGCTGAGGGGAAGTTGACATACGTGCTGTCGCTGATGGCGGAGTGTTTGAATGTGCTTGATCAGCAGGGGACTCATGGTGCAGCAGATGCCCAGCTCCAGGTGAAGACTGTTGCAGAGCTGATTGTTGGCACAGGTTATGAGTTGGCAGGTCTGGACTGCCACGCTTTTGTTTCATGGCACCTCAACAGAATTGTGGGTCCATTTATTGCTTCTTCTGATGGGGCTAGCCCTGTTGATCGCGATGAAGAAGACGAACAGCTAAGCGTAGCAGCATTGCAGGCAGCATTCGATTGTGTTGGAGAAGGGAATGCAGCACCATTGGCAGCCCTAGCAGACGGGCTTCACCAGGCACTGGGATGTGAAACAGGGACTTTGAATTGTGAATGGCCTTCAGCTTGGCACCTGCAACACAGCAGCAGCTACCTGGTGCTGATTTGCAAGATGACATCGCTCTGGAAAGCTGAAGGAACAAGGCCGTCTCTGATCTCTGACCTCCAGAAATCGCTCGAGTCAGAGAGCTTTTGGGCATCCTGCTTTGGACAGATGTCCTCTGAAGACATTTTGGCGAGTTTGATGTTTATGGCGCTGTGGGAGCCTGTGCCGCTGCTGAAGGGCGTGTCTGGGCTGTATGTTGGAGCCCCGGGTCTTCCGTTGGCCATTTGTTTGCCTGCTCTGAAGTTCGGACTGGCCAAAATAAAGGATGGATCACTCATGCTATCAGAAGAATCCCTTAGAAAGGTGGATACCCTGACCTTCGAGCTCAGCAAGTGTACAGCACTCTACAGTGCACCAGAGCTGGAGGGGGTGTCCAGGGCAGAGCTCAGTGCACTTTTGGATTCTGATGATCTGCTTCATGACATGGACGAAATCCTGCAGCGTCTGCTGGCACAGAGACACAAGATGGACGACCTCTTGAGATGGACGTTTAGCATAATTCGGGGAACGAATCGGTGTGTAGACGCTGTGCAGAATGACTGCCTGTCAGATTGGGTCACAAAGAAGGTTGCAGGCATTGTGGAACAGATGATGGATGACTGTAAGAGCAGGCTGCCAACATACTTAAGACACAGGGGCCAACATGGTGATGACAGTGCAGAGGACCCATCAGACGCCGTGTCTGCAGTCGTTGACTCTCTGGACATTTTGTTGGAAGGCAGCGACGTTGGAGAAAATGAGCAGATTGAAATGGATGTGGACAGTGCTGTGTGTTCCATTCGTGAGGACGTGTGGCAGAGGCTCACTGCCCTCATTGCGGGCCTCGACGAGGATTTGCTAAGTGGCGGAGACACCCCAAAGCTTCTGGAAATTCAGGCTTCCATTGCTGGTGGGGCTTGCTGGCCTGGCTGGAAATCCATTGACGACCCAAGTCAAACAACAAAGTCCATGGCCAAGCTGATGTATGTGCAATCGCAGGCTACCTTGTCTGGAGTCAATGGGGTATCCCTAACCCTACAGGATCTGGAGAGTTGTGACACGGCAGCTGCTGCATTTGGCAACATTTTGGCAGCATGCCCAATGGGGTCACTGGGAGCTCTTGCTCAACTCCTCACAGTCATCTGGCAACATGGCCTGCCATGGGAACCCCTCCAGGCCATGCCAGACAACGTTGCACTCCTCCCCATGCATGGCTCATGGCATGCACTGCTAAACCGCATGGCCGATTGTGGTCACGTTGGTGAAGTCTTGAATGTGTTAGACAGTGTGCAGGCCAGCGATGTAGGGGAACTGGCGGCTATTGCTGCTGCAAAGGACCAGCAAATGCCATCCAGTACCTGGCAGGGCCACAAAATTAGTGCTCTCAGCCATCCCGAAGCAGCTGCACTGTTGGACCTGCTGGAGGCCAGAGCATCACTCCCAGACTTTTTGAGTGCTTGCCTCCTGTCGCCTTTTGACGACCTCAAGGGAAGGGCGTTCGACAGGCTGAACAACATCGGCTCACAGGCATTTGCGTGCAGCGATGCTCTCTTGGCCCTTCTGCTCGATGGCCGCTGGATTCTGGACTTTGTGGAGCAGCCCATATTTAATGGGCTGTGCCAGCCACTGAAAAATGCTGCCCCCCACCCATCATTGCTGGCGGCATGGCCAAGGCTGTGCGATCTGGATGCACAGGGCAGCGACGAGCGAAAAGGTGAGCCGAAGGTTGGTGCATCGGGTATCCATCAGGGCAGCCCTGTTTGCTTGGAAACGGAACTTGATGACAGTCTTGAAGCAAGTCAAAGTTCAAGGCAACACCGTGATTTGAGCAGTTCCGGTGCTGGGCCGGCAGCGGCCTCGCAGCTTGACAAGGAGCCGGCTGTCGTTGGCAGCCCTCAGGAAGGTTGGGCGCCACTGGAGGAGGATGCTGGTGACGGGTGGGGGGTTGATGCAGAGTGGGAAGAAACTGTGAGAGCGTCAACCAGCCCATTGGCTGGGGTTGTTCAAGGGCGTGACGCCCAGCCTGATCCATTACGTGAACAGCGACCTGATGTGGAGAGTGGAAGGGAATTGGAGGTGGAAGATGGTGCAGGAGGCGAAGGCTGGGGTGTTTCAGGAGACTGGGAGGAGACTGTCCGTGATGCTGCGAAGGCTGGAAAGCCCGAAGCCTGTGGTGCACAAAAGGCTGCAGTGCAGAGTTCTAAAATGGAAATGGAGGACCTTGTGGATGGGGAGGGGTGGGATGCATCGGGGAACTGGGAGGAGACTGTTCGCGATGCCGAGAAAGCTGTGGATGACAGCAGTGTCTCTTGCCCTCCGACGCCAGGATGCTCAGATCGGATCCCCAAAGGGGAAATTGACGTCTACGCCATGGAACCTCAGGTTGCATTGGAGGACCTTGATGCTGAAGCTTGTGACGGATGGGGGGACGGGGACTGGGAAGAAACGGTGAAGGCTGCAGAACAGGAGGGAGCAGAGTCCATGACTGTACTGCCTGGTCCGGTGGCTGCCAGACTCGAGGTGGGCTCGCAACAGGACGAGCAAGATCCAGGCGGAGGCATAGAGGACGAGCAAGGGGGATGGGGCCACAGTGATGATTGGGAGGAGACAGTCAGGGCTGCTGAAGAGGCGGCTGCAAGGTCGTCAGCCGGTGAGGTGGTCGCTGATGGGCCGGAGGGGCTGCCTGCTGGAGAGGAAGCGTGGAGGGAACGCAGAACACTGGTGGTTGTGGAAGAGCGGGGAGATGGCGAATGCAGAGCGGGCACAGTGCCTCTGGCGAACAGCCGGCTCGGTTTGGGAGTGGAAGACGACCCAGGCCATCTGGCACAGCCTGTTGCAACAAACAGCGACAGGCAGTCGATCCCAGGACCTGCGTCACCGATTCCACAACAGGAGGTGCCGCGCTGTGTTATGAACAGTCACGGCTCTGGCGATTCGTTGTTGACCTCGGCAACACTGCTGCCGATGCTCGTTGGGATTCTGTGCTCCGCTGGCAAGCATAGCGTGGCAGCTGCCCTCTTGGCTGAGAAGCTGAGACTGCACAGATCCCTTGCTTCTTTGTGTGGTGGGTTCGCTGTACTTGAAAGGTACTTGCGGGCCGTAGCCATTTTGCATGTTGACACTGGGGAGCTGGGAGACTGGCAGGCAAACTTGATTTTGCCCAAGACTTCTGAAAGGCTTTTGCAGGGTGTGCAGGAACAATGCGCAAAGGCATTGGAACGGCTGTTGGCAGATGTTAACATCAAATGAACTATCGCGATTCAGAATTTCGGAGTTGTATACTAAAAGCTTCCATTCAGGGCGTGTGTGTGTGCCAGTGTTGACATGTCCAAATGACAAGGAGGTGTCTCATTCCCACAATCAAACTGTTTTGAGGGGCTCCCGCAAGCAAAACTGGAAAAGTCCATGCTGGATGGAAGAATGCAATAAAGGTCGGCATGGCAACGCGGCTGGCGATTTACAGTGTCTTGCCCAGCATCTGTTTGGATGCCTGGGTTATGTGTCCTCGTGGTACTGGGCCCACTCCCCTTTCCGCATTGTGTTCCAGAACTTGGCAGAACAGGCAGTGCCAGGAAACCAACAAACAGACGCCTGTTGGGAGCATGGTGGGCATACTCATGCTCGACATTGCTCACTATCGGTACTGAGGCCCTTACGGACTTCCCCATTGCAAGCAGGACATCTTGGGGCCAACACCTTCACAGAGCAAACCGACTCTTCACCGCACTGGAAAGGAGAGACAAATCAAACCCCCGCCGTTGCTTCCCGCCTCTGCACTAGCCGCCGTTTTGGATCCAATTTTCAGCGTTACAATTTTGTGCAATGGACAGTCCGTGAGGAAATATGCTGTCGATTGGTGTACGCATTTGCTCATGTCTTGGGTGTCCGAGGAAATTGTGTGCGTGAGGACATTGGTGCCTTTCGGCAACCGCCTTCTGATGGAATGAAAATCTCCACTGCAACTATCTGCAACAAGTCGCGAGTGTTTTGCTGCTGATCAGCAGCGTTTTAAGGTATATTTCCACTATATGTTGATTTTGTTGCAACTACACGATCTCTTACCTTCACAGGTCTGCCCCCCCACCCCACCCCACCCCATCCCACCCCCCCACCCCGCCCCACACACACACGCCACACACCTTTAATATCAAATTGACACCAAGAGAAACAGCCATAATGTTTCCTCTAAGTCGCTTAAAATTATGCACCAACAGCATTGTGTTCTTTTGCTAAATCGATAATAGAATGTTGTCCTGTAACAATGTTGTGCTACGAGTTTGAAGTGGTGTTCAGATTAACGGTAATGACCACTAAGCTGGCTCTGTCAATTACCGATTTGTAGTCCGATGATCTAATGGTGAAACCCTGAGAACATATCAGTTCAGGAAATACAATTGAACGGCTATTGCCTTTGCTCGATATTTCATTGGAACTTTCCAGTTTCAATAGCTGGTGGTCGATGACGAGCACTGGTATGCAGCGAAATTCCATGAGAAAAGTGAGTACAGAATTGGGAGTCAGATTCAACATATGAAAATCTGACACCAAAAAAACGAAAGTTTCCGCCGGGCCGGGCTCCTTGTCCCACCCAGGTCCACACACACACTGGACCAATACATTACACGACATTGTTTGTCCCAATACAACCCGAGGTACCCACAACTTAGTGTGCCCAATCGCTTCGCTAGTAGTTAAGCCAGTCCCATACAAGACTCAGCCCTTGAGTCAGACCCACCACTCCTCATTCCCACGTCCTTAACTCCCACACTTGCCCCAAATCAACCGAACATCACCCTAATAGGGGGGGCCGGGCGGGAAGCGAAACAAGATAAGGTGGGGACCGAGGGGTGAGCCTAAGTAGCCTCCCCGCTCGCGCCCGCCAAAGACCGCCGCTCCCAAGGGCGCCAAAAACCACTGGCCCTCCTTGAACGCGACGGACCAGCCACTGACCCAAGGTACAGGGGGACAGAGACCCCAAGGGGCCGCCAAAACCATTGTACTTTAAGCAGCGCTGGCCCAAGTGGGCCAGCGCGCCCGCCCCTCGTCGCCCTAGGCGGAAACCACTTAACAAGATAGTTAATCCCATTTCCGCCGGGCCGGGCTCCTTGTCCCACCCAGGTCCACACACACACTGGACCAATACATTACACGACATTGTTTGTCCCAATACAACCCGAGGTACCCACAACTTAGTGTGCCTAGTCACCCTCAAACACACGGCGCTCCTCCGGAGCAGAAGATGTGGCCATACCTGTCATGCAAGTCCCGGGCGGTAATCGTCATCTACCCGAAAAGGCGATAGTCCCACTCTGATGGGATGCGATACACATCGATGTACCGCCAGAGGGCAGCGCCCCGCCAGTCGCCCCAGTGGCGGATGCGCTGTTCGGGCACCTCCAAGGCGAAGCAGGCCGACGCCCCACCCGCGCGTAGACCATGGTGATCGAAAGCGCCCGGGTGCAGGTCGGGAGAGGAGGTCAGGAGGTCCCGAAACCAGGAGGAAACCATGCGGGCGGACGGGTCGCGTTCGCCCGGGAGCGTGTAGAAATGCGTCGGCGTCCCACCCGCATCTGCCCAGGCGCGATCCCGAAAGGCGCCCCAACGCAGGAGCAAATTCACCAGCTCGGGGGCGCCCTGCGAAGGCCAGGAACGGAGGCGGACCGCCGGGTCCGAATCGGGCTTGAGCTTGGTCTTGCGTTCCCGGAAGATCACAACGCCATCCGTCACCCGCACGTCGTCCAACAGAATGAAATGGCCGCTCTGGGCCCGATTAAAGAAAACGAAGTCCAGCAGGGAGGAAACCGACGCCCGCAATAGGAGGAGGTCGTCGGTGAGGAGGCCGCGCTCCAGAATGCGGAGCATCAAGGTAGCCGGCACCGGAGCATGAGAGGCCGCAGGCTCCGGGCATTGCCGACGCCAGGACCGGGTGAGCAAACGGGTCACCCGGTCGAAGGCGGAAAACTGCAGATGGCCGGCGACCTGGTGCACCATGGAAATGGCGGCCAGGTACTGCGGGAGGCTGCGGACGCCCACCCGACCCTCCTCCCGTAGAAACCGGATGTAACGGTAGATCGTGGCCGGGCGGGCGGGGAGGGCCTGGAGCCCCACGGAGGCGCAGAACGCCTGGAACTTGGCGAACTTGGCCTGCATGGACCGCCGCGTTGACTCCGTGTAGAAAGACAAAAACTGCGACTGCATCCATGCGCAGTCCGATTGCAGCATGCCGTCGACGTCCAGCCCGTAGAGGGGGTGATCAGTCGGCATGGCCTCCACCGGGAGCGGATCATCGGGGGGAAGCGCGACCTCCCTGGAGGGTGACCGAGCGCCCGCCCCTAGGGAGGCTTCCGAGGGCGGACATGAAATGCCCGAAGGTTCCACTTCGGCGGAGGAAGGCGGGCCGGAAGAGTCGGATCCCCTGGGCGAAACATCCCCGGATGACGGGGAATCAGAAGGTCCTCCGCCGCAAGAGTCCGGAGTGGCTGAAACCAAAGCGCGCTCGGCCAATCCAGCGCGACGACGACGACGGCCTCCACGGCGGGCCGAGCGGCGAGGAAGGAGACGAGCCGGGGAAGGAGGCACCAAGGGGGGTTGCACCAGTTGGTGTCCCCGTCCAGTCCTGGAGAAAGGCGTCCGTCCCCGCGCTCCCCACGTCCGCGTGCAGGCTGTTGTACCTTGGGCAGAGGGAATTCGCCGCGGAAGCAAAGCGGTCGCACGACCGGCGACCGAAGCGCTGAGTCAGGCGCTTGAAAATGGCCGGGTGCAGTTGGTAGTCGTCCGCCACCCGAACCCGGGACAGCCTGTCCGGTATGACGTTGTCCTCCGACCGAATATAGTTCGGGTCGAGCAGGAGGTGGCGCGCCGTACAGACTCGGTGCAGCTGACGAAGGGGGGTGAGGAGCTGCTTGGAATGGGTAGTCATGCTGCGCAGGCAGAACATGACCACCTGGTTGTCGACCAACAGCTTGAGCCTCGAAGGAAGGCCATGGGAAGCAGCCGGAAAAAAGCTGAGAATGGCTCGCTCCACCGCCTGCATCTCACGCACATTGATGTGCGTTAAGGAACGGTCCCAAAACCCCCTCGCGAGGAGGGGGCGAGACCTCGTCGGGGAAGCAAAGGTGGCCCCCCAACCGGTCAGGCTGGCGTTCGTTGCCAGAGTACCGGCGAAGGGGATGGCGTCGGGGTTGAGTGGACGGCCTTCGCAGCGGCGGATGTTGACCCACGCCTCCAAGTCCAGCCGGGCTTGGGGGGAGAGGATCAGGCGATCCCGCCAACTGCGCTTGGAACGAAGAACCGCGTAGAGGCTTTGCAAGAAAAATCGTGCCAAAGGAAAGGCCAAATAAAGGGAAATGGCGAGGCCGCAAAAACGTGCCAAATCCCTTGCCACAACCCAGCGGCTGGATCGCGATCAACGCGGCCTTGTCCGGAGGAACCTCAAAACGGCCATGGGCCGTGTCCACAATCACCCCCAAATGCTTCTTGCGCATGGTGGGGGTCCATTGACACTTCCGCTCCTCGAATTGGAGGCCCAGCGAGGCAAACACACCCCGAACCAATTTCGACCATCGAGTCAAACGTGCGGCATCATGCATGGCCGCCAAAAAATCATCGAGATAAGCCAACAAAATGGCTGGCGGTTCCCTAGTATACACATGAAAGTATGTAGCTATTGAGTCATCCCCGGCTAGGCACCCAAAACGGAAATGGCGAGCAGCCTTGGGACAACTGCCCGGGGACCTCAAGAAACGACCCACAACAAGCATCAAATGGGTGAAAAAGAAAGGAGCCAACGAAAGGCCAAAAGGGAGAGCTCGACAAGCGAAAACTTCATCTCCCATTCGAAATTGGAGGAAACATTCCTCCGATCGACACACGCGAAGATGATGATAAGCATCTTTGATGTCGAATCCCACCAATGAGTCATTTCGGCGAAGTAAGTGACCGAAGTCACGTAATTTCTCGTAACGAAGGCCCACCTTGCGAAGGTGACGGTTGACCCGTCGCAGATCGATGCAAAGGCGGTACTTCATGACCCCATCTTCCCGCCCCTTCTCCACCAGGAAGGCCCGAGATATGCGCGAGTTGGGGCCCGGCTCCACTTTGGTGATCGCGCCCGAAGAGAGGTAGTCCGCTCGAAGGGATTGCCAGGCCGCCCGTTCCACCGAGGAGCGGAGCGGGTAGGAGCCCTCGTCGAAGGGAGCCGGCGGTCCACGCGGTCCCCACAGAAGCGGAGTCCCGGAATGGATCCATTGGAGGATGCGGGAGGGGGCGCCGATGCGACGCCACGCCGAAAGGCGTCCGCGGACCCGGTTGTACGGGAAAAGCTTCACGGAGCCGGCTTGGGAGAGGGGCCCGGAGGGCGAGATCCCTTGTGGGCCTTGGGGCCGGTCGAGGGGGCCGAGGTCGACGGGGGGGAGGTAGACTTCTTGGCGGCCACGGTCTTGGTGGCGTGCTTCAATTCTTGCGTCAGAAGCTCCTTGCGCATGCGCTCGATGGTCCCGTCGACGCGAGCGGTGCCGAAGCGCAGACCGCGGTCGGCAAGGCGGATCTCCGCCTGAATGGCCCGCCACGATCCCTCCAGGCCCGAGCCCTTGTGCTTGGCGTGGATGCGCTGCAAGGAGAGCTGGTCGTGGAGAGCTTCGGTGACCTCCACGTACGAGTAAAGGTAGGGGAGGAGAAATTCCCGTACGGACGCCGGGAGATCGGGATGGGCGGCCACCTCCACAAAGGCCGCGGTCGTGTCGAACAGCCAGGAGACCGGAGGAGCCCAGCCCGCGTACTCCTGGAAATACCCGGAGTTGGCGCCCAAAGAGGCGGCGACCGCACTCCCCTCGGTGGTGTCGCGGACGTCGAACCAGTACGGCGAACGGGCGCCCACCGGTCGGGCGACCGGGTTGTTGACGGACTGGGGGAGTAGCGCCGGGTCGGGCAACCAGCAGGCTTCGATAGCGGAGCTCGGAATACGGTTGTTGAACCGGCGAGCTTGTTCCCGGCACCACTGCTCCGCAGGGGACGGGTTCATAGGCAAGAACTCGGCAAAGAGCCGGAGGTCGAGACCCACTCGGTGGGTCCGGGTTGTGCCAAAGGGTTGGCGCGAAGCGAAACAAGATAAGGTGGGGACCGAGGGGTGAGCCTAAGTAGTCTCCCCGCTCGCGCCCGCCAAAGACCGCCGCTCCCAAGGGCGCCAAAAACCACTGGCCCTCCTTGAACGCGACGGACCAGCCACTGACCCAAGGTACAGGGGGACAGAAACCCCAAGGGGCCGCCAAAACCATTGTACTTTAAGCAGCGCTGGCCCAAGTGGGCCAGCGCGCCCGCCCCTCGTCGCCCTGGGCGGAAACCACTTAACAAGATAGTTAATCCCATAAACAACGCCAAGGAGTCATAACAAGCAGCGTGTGCGCGTGGAGGTGTAGAGTAACTCCGTCTACCTGGGAGTTCATGGATTTGGTCATTGAGGTGTAGATTTGTGAGCGTAGGTCGGTCGGAATGGGTACTTTGGAAGACATGAGGTAGCTGGTGTGCGATTTGCCTGTGCTGGGGAACTCGTTGCCATGCATGTCACTTATCAGGATGGAATTCGCCATAGGTACGGTAGAAAAGCACGTGAAGTGCATGAAAGACTTGGATGCCAGCATGCATGTGCTGGTGAGGCTGTTCGTGTTGGCGACAGGCATCACTGGGTCCATCATGGGTGCTGATCAGGTGAGGCTGGCTCGGATGGTCGGACGCACGGAATTGCTCGTTCATGTGTTCGTTTTGTTCCTGATCGTGAACATCACCGCTGCCATTTTCTGCACAATGGGGCGGTGGGGGTGTGCAATGCTGATGCGGTGCGCTCAAGCACGCGGATCAGAGAATGCTCGACCAGGTAGGAACGAATCGACAGGTTGCCAATGGGAGAAGCGCGAACAAGCAGACCCCATGGCACGAGCACATAGTGGTCTGCCTCAGAATGGCAAGAGTGAGGTGCAGGTGCACCCTGTGTGCTGTTGCAGTCGCTGTTACCGTTATGTACTCCTGTTATTCCACCAGTCGCTTACTGTTGCACTTGCTGACTGCCAACAGTGGGGCACAATTTCCACAGCCGTGTTGCCCTGGCGAACTCATAGTTTCCTATTGGCCCTTGGCCAGAACTAACAGGAAGAATGTCTGCTAAGTGCCGCACATCTTGCTCTGCAATGATGTCATGTTTTTCTTACAAACTTGAAATTTCACCATTCCACTGCACAATCTGCGCTGCAAACCATCCTCATATGGACCAGCTAGTGAGCCGTTTGCTTACTCTCTTCATGACCTTTGGGAGGTGCTCAATGATCCAAAAGCATACTTTCTTACCGCAGCCCGTCACTGCAGAATGATCCACTGCCATGCCACCACCATACAAAGAGAGCTCCTGTTTTCGCAATAGCATCTTCAGCACAGGCGCTTTATGGATCAGCAAGGTTCCTCTATCAGGACTGCAAAAATGCTCTTGAGAGAGCCAATGTAGCCACACATGGCAATTGCAATTTTCACTGGTGTGACTACAGATTTGCTGACCATTTGGCAAGAACTCTGCGTGATGACAGGTGCGAAGGCAGCACGAATGCCTAGCCCATGGGAACAGTGTCCATCCTGTCCAGTCGTCCCCACAGGCTCACTGAACATTTTGCACAGTACAGTCTGCCATCCGATTGCGTCCACACAGACTCCATCCACAAATTCCAATGTGTGCCCTGTGGTGACCCATTTCGCAGCTGGATGATCAAGTACATCTCTTTGATGAACACGCCAGCACACACTGGGGCACAATTTCTTGATGAGAGCGCTGCATAAATTGCCCTTTCTTTACTGTAAATGCATTGAACAGTGCGGTGATGGGATCTGAATATGGTGGCCGCATCCATGTTGGTGGTTGCCAGCAGGCAGAACCCCACATCCGAGCAGATTCCCCCAAGTGCATACTGGATTCCAACAGTGCCAAAAGAAATATTGACTGTAGCCATTGTCTCAACAGTCTCTGAAATCAGTGGACTGGTTCTGCCCTAGCAGAAGATGCGGATATTCCGTTGCCACAATGAGTGCTGTGACAAGCGCGTTGCTGAGGACAGCAACAGATGGCATCATAGCAGGACTGCACACACTCACCTTCAACAAGGCAAGAACGAGGCAGCAAAGAGCGAATTGTCACCAGTGACTACAAGCATTGCCCCCTGAGGAAGGTTCTTGAAAGTTTGAACAGCAATGACGCTTACACATGAGCATATACACACAAGCACCGCATTGGTTTGGCTCCATTTATTTGCCATTCACTGCAATTTTTCTGGACAAAAGGAGCCGATGGGTGAGCTGCTATCTGTTCCTTAGCTCCACAACCCAACAGCAGGTTCCTGACTGCCATCGCTGTCTTGCGAACCACCCTTCTCACCCAGCGGCTGCTTCCCAATCAGTCAAATAATACAAACAAGGCACACACACCACAATGCCCACACCACAAACTGCCAAAAAGCCTGAACTCATACAGAAGTCTGAAACCAATAAGCGCCCATACTAACTACATTTTGAGTCATGCATGGGCTTCACGGGGTGACGGAAAGTGATATGCAGCCAAGGCAGTACAGATTCACCTCCCCAACATCATTTTCTTGAACTCGTCATAGTCTATTTCGCCGTCTCCATTTTGGTCGGCTTCAGATATCATTTCATCCTCCTCCTCCAGAGTCAATTTCATTCCAAGGCTGCACATCACCTGCCGCAGCTGCACACAACACAGGGCACATAGGGTGGTGCTCAACAACTTGTGAAATGATGAAAGTGCATATCCACCACCGCATCAAGACTGTTCATCCAAAACTCCCATCCAGACATGGGGGCCATTCCCAACACAGGTCAATGGCATTGTCCTCAGCTCATGTGACGCGGCAATGCGAATGTGTGAATTGAGTGCACAGAAACATTGCACATCCATGGATGGGCTGCCCTGTAGATGCAATCTTGCTTTGCTTACTTTTTGCGGCCTTTCACTGTCAATGCACAGATTTGCTGTACACAATAAACAGTCTTGCTGTTGAACAGGTCACAGCCAAGCAGGGGACAACTCAGCGTGCGCACCTTGTGTGCAGACACAAACATTGTGGTGCCTGCCAATTGCAGAGCTCGCTCACTCTTTGACCCTTGTAGACAGTTTGACTACTTAACCCACATGGGACAGGTCTTTTCACAACAGTGTGCAGTGGCAGAACAACTGGTCCAGCCACAAGGAAGCCAAAACACAGCCAAGCCCTTATCAGTTGCAGCACGGCAGTATTCTGGTACCTGCATGACAAAGGTGGTAACGACTTCCCATGCCCTTTACAAGTTTCGCAAATTTAAGGGAGACGGTCCCATAACGATTACCAATCCTCTAGCCCTTTTACTCCTTCGCTTTAGCGGCTCGGCAAGCGTGGTGCAGCATTTCATTGTCAGTGTTCGAAATGGGCTTGAACTGTTGAAGGTTCACCAGAAAGGACCGTTTCTTGGTTTCAAGGTGTTGACGGCGCGGTGAACGTCCTTGCCCTCACGTGAACGACGAGGCGCTCTATCGCCCAACTTTGTCGCCAACACAGACCTGCACAGTGCCGAGGTGCCACCACGGGCTGGTGCGCGCGACTGTATTTCACGTATGCGAGAGCACACACGCCAGGCAGGCCCTAGGCGTCCTGGCGGGACTGCACCCTCGGGGAGCTCACCAGCCAAACCAGGGAGCCCTGGGCACCGCGCATGGGGGAGTCATATTCCTGCGCAGGCCAAACCCTAGGCCCCCTTCTGCTCACCCTGCCCGACAAACCGAACACCGCCACCCACCTCCTCGCGCGATATTGAGCCGTTGCCGTCTTTGTCGAACACGCGGAAGGCCTCCCGCAGCTCCTCCTCGGGGTCGGCGTGCTGCGCCAGGGCGAAGCATGAACGGGGAAAAGTTACCACCAAACGGGGCCACGCAGCCTCGCGCTGCCGCTGGGCGTGTCTTTGTACGGTGGCGTGACCATTGACGTGCCATATCCCATTAGGTCCACGGAACCGCGGCAGCGACATACGCACCTTCATTTTCTTGGCCATCAGGACCAGGAACTCGTTGAACTCAATTGTGCCATTCTTGTCTGTGTCGACCTCGCTGATCATGTCCTGCAGGTCAGCCTGTGTCGGCTTCTGGCCCAACTTCCGCATCACGTTGCCCAGCTCCTTCGTCGTGATGGTGCCTGCCGGAGTGCGGGAGGATGAGCAGTCCAGTAGAGACGGCAGCCAGCCGTGAACTGTCCAGCCCAAAACCACCCGTGCGCGGGGACAGTGTCCTGGGGCGTTCGTTGACCCCGCACCCACCATCGCCATCCTCGTCGAACAGGCAGAAGGCATCCTTGAATTCAGCGATCTCGTCCTCACTAAGCTGGTCAACCAACGGCTTCGTCATTGTGCTGTTTGGGAGGGGTTTGAGAGCGGGAGGACGGCGAGGCAGGCGCGAGGGCACAAGGACGGGCCCTTGGGTATCGCAAGCAAGCATGGCCAAGCCGCAGCACGAGGATGGGCTGAAATGGCGGGTTTGATGTGGCCGCGGCCCGCCCTCCACAAGGACATTACGTAGCCGGTCGCGGATGACGCAACGGCCCGCGTTTGTCAACGGCAACCCACCGTAACTCTGGGGTTTTTTGCTTTGCTGTGCAATGGTCACCAACTTGGATCGCCTATGAATCAGAACATGTTATGAGTATAAGGTGCTTAAGAGGCGGGAATATTTTCTCAAGGCAAGAGTGGTGCTGAAAGGCACCCCAAATGTGTGGAAAATTAGTCAACTTTCAATTGCCTAGTGGGCATTTGGGTTGGAAAGGAGAATTAACAGACAATTGGGTTAAAGCGCAAGGCCCCAACCACTTTGTGCATGGTCAAAAGCATCAGTACACATGCTGTACATCTGGAGAATGTGTTCAATGCTAATGGCCAAACTCAAAATTAAAATAAGACACTATGTTGTTTGTGGTATGTGTTGCGTGAATTTGGCGACAAGGTCAGACCCCTCCCCCTTCTCCCCCTTTGCATTCTTCTGTTTATTGTGCAATGGGTTCTAATGTAGAGGTGACCGAGGCACGCAAGCCTGCGTCTTTGAGGCCCGGGCCTCTGACAGGGCAAACTTTGGATGCTGCTATTGTGGCAGGGAGTTTGGTTTCTGGGGGTCAATTGACCTCTAATAATGCCCTTGCGTCTGCCATCAAAGTTGTTATGTGAGCACTTTGGGGAGTTATTGGCCATTTGTCCTTGCCATAGGTGGAGTTGGCCCTGGGATTTATGTGGTATAGGGCCAAGTGTTTGGTTTTGCTCTAGGATGTATTGTGTAGTGCTTTATAGGCTACAATACAATGTATTTTAATGGTGTCTCATTTAGAGGGGTAATTGGCCATGGATGTGGCCAGTACCGGTGCTCAAAAGTGGCTTCATACCACTTGTATTGTAACATTCATTCCAAGCTTACTGACCGTGCCTCCGGCCCTTGTGGCCGCGTTCAGCTTGTGCTGCACAGCGAGGTTGGGGTGCCCCGTTTGCAAACTGCACCCCCGCATGGCAGGCCCGCCAGAGAGGCACAACATGGGCCCACTGTATCAAGAGGAAATGAGCGCCCTGAATACGCCCCGGATCCCGAAGATGTGGGAGGGCCATTCTGGCCATCAGAAGCAGTGACTCCCAAAACAGCACCTGGACAAAGCAGAGCCGGCGGCAACTGGTTGGCCACGCCAGAGAAGCGGATCTGCAATGCAACATTCGCCACCTCTATGGCTCCATCAAGAAAGTTATTGTGGTCATTTGCTATGCTACCGGCCTGCGTGAAACTCCCAAAAGACAAAGCCAAAGCTCATCCCACGACTGACACCGCATCACGAGGTGGAAACAACGGTAGTAATCCCACTGCTCCAAAGGTGATGTTTGAGTCCATGGGACTTGTGGGGACTGCAGACCCATCTTTAAGCCTAGCATGGGTTTCTTTGCTCATCCTGCTTTCTGCCCTGGCCATTGATCGCTTTTGCTCAGTATTGCTGCACATTCCTGGGCCCCTGTTATCTCAGACACCTTGGATGCTGCGGCCCTACCATCCTAAGCTACCTCTCCCCTTTCCCCGCTAGGCAAACGCCTGTGCGCTGAGGCCAACCCCTTCCATCAATACTCCCCCACCTTGTCGGCCAAGTTGGCCCTCTTGCTCCAAAGTCCCACCTACCCCGGCACTCTTAGGACCTCTCCACATGCATTGCCTAACCCAGACATGGCCCGGCATCACTCCCATGTAGCGGCCTCAATATGGTTTGCATGCGTAGATGAGCTCTTTGATGTCTAAGTGGAGCTCCACCCCTACAACGTTTGTATGTGGGGCTCTACTGACTCACTGATAAAGTCGGTGGTGGACCTAGGCATGACTGCCTAGAAGTTGATTGGCGAGTTGGTCATACATGCACTTGTAGTGATGAATGTGGAGTGCATGTGTAATATAGCTACTTGAGAGTTCAAGCTTGATTGACCTTTTCTAAAGTTGGACTTAGTAATTTTTGCAAATTGAGAGGTTTTTAATATGTTTAGACTTCCAAAATGCCCGAATCCGTTAAAAATTGATGAAGTTAAGGCCCTGTGAAATTATACTACTTAGGGCTTTAATCGGAGGGGGCAAGTACAAAACGCATTGGGTAGACGGGTCGATTGTGGGTGAATGGGGATGGAGACATTGTGCCTAGATATGCACATGTGTTATCTTGATATGACAATGATCGACCCGTGATCAGGCATTGCACATGACATGCGCCGTATGTGGATATGTATGCGCACACGCATGGAATCGCGTAACATTCTTTTGGCCCACTCTCTAGCCTTCCGCAAGCTAGCAAGCCACTACACCATTGCACCACCACCTCTCGCCAACAACATACCCCAGGGATCGATCCCTGTCGAGCATTGGGCCCACCGTTGCAACCACATGAGCGACTGCCCTGGATATACCCACTGTCCAAGGTGGAGAGAGCTAGCCAACCTACAACGGCCGAGCTATAGGGTAGGGTGACCCCAATGCCTTCAGAAACAAGTGGCAGCCAACAGTCCACAATAAAATAGGTTTTTTTTCACCGGATCATCTATATTCGGTGATTGTGCACTTTAGTACATTGCAAGATAAAGTCATTCTATTGCGGGCCAAAAGTGCACTTTATGGGACATTTATCCCTCATACTTCCCAAGGGGCACCTTTACCACAATTTATTTGAGGTGCAATTTGACCAGAAACGGTGCCTTCATAGTGTCTTTGAGGGATTTTTGGCTGCAGCTATCAAGGCCATTTGGAGATAGGGCTACTACTTGCACGCCCTCACTTCAGGTTGTTTGTTTGAGTTTTGGCCAACCTTACTATTTAGAATATGGGCATTTGGCCCTACACTTTGTAGGTGGTTTTTCAAAGTGGCTGAATATGCGTGCAATGCCAGTTCTGGGTTGTTGGACGTTGGTGGGTTGTCTTTCCAGTTGTTTTTAGGGGCGGTGTTTGTGCTATGGCTCATTTGTATTTTCCTAATGTTTCTCACTTTCTGGGGCTTTTTATTCAATTTTGTTTGTTGTATTATCTTCTAATGCCTTTTTTCTGTGGGTTTGCTTATCTTGAACACCGTGGGTGCATACTAAGCATAATATGTATATATCTATATATGGATGAACAATGCACCCTTCTGTTTTTGTTCCTTGTGTTGTTCCGGGGCTCCTTCTTATAGCGCTTGCGATATTGGTGGAAAATAGTGTTTTCACCTCATTAATATATAATGCCATCTTACCCCCCCACACACCCACCACCACTACCACCACCCCAACCCAAACCCACCCCAACCCCGCCACCTCCCTTTCCTGACTTTCTTAATGTCAATCTATCAAATTATGAGCAGTCAGGACATTTATTACTAGAATATGGAGTATATGGGTACAGTGACAATACACTAAGGCACCGGTGTGGGTGCCATGACACGGATTCTTTCCGCACCGGTGGCCCGCGAGCTTACCACCGTACTTATGTGGGGAGTACGGTGTAGTAATGATCCTTTCTCACGCAAGCAAACTGTGCCCGCGACCCGACCCCGCAACCTCGGCCGACCTGGCCAGCGGAGCCCATGAGCCCGCCTGTCTCCAAGTATACCACCACGAACGCCATGCCCAGCACGTGCAGTCTGATGATTCGGACCCGGCGGAGGTGGAGCATCGAACGGCTAACCACCACGCGCATCGGAGGCCCCCTCGCGACGGCGGGGGCCCGAAGGGAAGCTGACAGAATTTTGTTTTGGAGCCTGGATTTTGATGCGCCGAGCATGTGAGGATGGGCACCGGGAGCGCAGCAAAGCGGCCGAACTGAACGGCCAGCAGGATTCGAGAAAGGAGGCCACATCCAAGGCCACTTGCGGCTTGAACTGTCTGAGCCAAGAAGGCGATTTTTGTTGGGTCAGCGAGTGAATCTTTGCTGAATCGAAGTGCAGACCGGCGCGCAGAGTTGCGCCAAGGCTGGCAAAGCGGCAGCGATGGGTTCGGTGTGTTGAATCGAACGCCATCCCGGGTTCCCACGTTGGGCCCGTTCGAATCGGCAGAGGCTCGGTGGGAATTGGCGATGGGAACGTGGGCCGACTCGTGGATTGAACATGCAGCACCATGTCCGGGCCGAGTGAGGCGCAAAAAGCCAAAGGGAACATGAGATTGGGCTCGATTGTGAACGACGCCGGTGGAAAATTGTGGCGGAAGGTCGATTCTGGACATGCATCTTGGTGGCGAACGGCAGCAACACGCGGCGAGGTCACAATTGCCCATGCGCGGCGATTGGAGACCGAGGGCCATGTCGTAGGAGGCCCAACTGGCCGACGCCATGGACACGGACAGTGGGGAGAGCGTGTCCGGGCCGTCGCACCACACGGAGGTGGCGGAGTTGCAAGGGGCCCAGAGCGGCCGCAGCACCACACCGGGTTGCATGAGGTTGAGTCAGCATCGGCCTAATCAGGCTGATTTAGGCGCGGAAAGTATGGCTGCGAACTACAGTGGAAAAGACGTGAAATTTCTGTTGTCACGTGATGCCTAACGGGGCGCTGCGGCGCATGCTATCGCTGACGCAGCACCTAGTGACACCGGACACAGTGTCGCAGCACCGTACAGTACTGCAATTCGCAGGGTGGCGACAGTGGGTGCTACTACACCACCCGGGACCACATTCTCT